TTCTATTCAACCTTATTGTGTGATTTTTATTCTGAGGAGCAAAACCTATTGTCTACAAACAAATAGCCAAACTCCATGTCCCCAGAGGACAATGTACCTTCCTCCTGCACTGATGATTCACAGCACTTTTGAACTAGTATTTATGAGGAGATTCTTTCCCAATACTTGTGGAAGTCTCTCAATACCCAGTGGTCCAAGAAATCATTAAATTAACCAGCATCTAATTTCAGTAACTTAATTTAAGTAAGAGTGGGTTTCTGTGACACAGGGATGTTGAAAGAAAAGAATTAGTTTGGTAACTTTGTTCCAGTCAAGATGCTGGATGACTTTTGTAACTGGCTATGAGATGTCCTCATGCTTAGATATTTGTCTTTTGGGGACAGATGATTCCCATGGAGTCCAGTTGTGAGCACATGTTCCAGATATGTAACTTGGGTGTTACTGCGTCTGGCTCCAGAGGATAAAATGCCAAGCAGGGGGTCAAGGGAAGGGAGCAGAGCTGTTCTGGAAGTAAGAATGCACAGGACTAAGTGTTAATGAAGAGGTCCATAAATGGGAACAGAGGCTAGAATGCAGCATATGGAAACAGAGAAGCTGAAGGTATATTTGTTATGTAAGAGAGTTAGAAGTAGAGGAAAGTCAGAAAGGGTAAGAAGGAAGACTCACAGAGAGATTAAGAATAGGATAAGGACAGCTGGAGGAAAAGGCCTGGAAGAGCCTTCAGTGATTACAGAGAAAGATCTTCTTTCAAACTGCAGTCACTCAGATTGATGCACAGTATTTAAAAGGATGTCATACAAATTATGAGTCATGTTTTTTGAGTGAACAGTGCTGAGCAGATCTGGTAGCAGTTTCAGTGCAGAGGGGAGTGATGTGCTGAAGAAAGTAAAGGGCTGTTCTTTTAGGTCTTCACTAGCAGTTTTTCTTCTACGTTTTTGCTCTGTGTGTGTTTTGATTATTCAAGGAGATGTGGTTTTGGGGGAGACTGGAAGAAAACAAAGTTTTGGAAAAAGACTTGAAAGAAAAAAAGTCTAAAACACCAGGGCAAAACCAAGTCAGTTGTTTAATTTTCAACTGATAGTGTTACTACAGTCTCCTTAAGAAATTCTGCTGATTTATGATTTCTATAATGATAACAAGCCCCAAACTGCTAGTTAGAAAAGAATTGTAAATATTGTTTTCCTCTGTAGGTATACTGATGTTTCAGACTCTTGCCAATTTATCATCTTAGTATTGCATAATGCAGCCAATTCATGTTTTCCAGAGCTGCCCAATTAAGTTAAGTGTTCAGAAGTTTCCATGACCTTTAGGTTTCTTTGTACTCTATGTTGTTTTGCAGAGTATGATAGACTTTGTGGTTTACTTCCAGTGTAGCCTTTCTTTTATGGAAAAGATGTCACAATGCAAAAAGGCCATGGTTTTGGGTTGTGTTTTTGAGCATTTAATACAATGCTAATTTGACATTGCTTTTTTATTTTTCTAAAATGTCTTGGCATGCAGGAAACTGTATCTCATACAAAAAGGGTCAGCAGCAAAATATCATACTTTAAAAGTATTGTTAGGCTGAATATATGGCAAAAATAAGTTGAAGAAAGAAGATCCCCTTTGAGAAGCTTGTTGCAGGACATATGTACCTATATCATATTCAGTGCCTTGTCCTCTTCAGTCATATCTGTGAGAGCTCCCAAACACAGGACTGTGTTCACTGAAATTTTTGAGTTTTCTCCAAAACATTATGGTCTAATGGAGGTTTCTGAGGACGATGGGCATCAACCTGCTGAGTGAATGAATCCAGGCTTCACTGTAACCTTAGAAGATGGAGGCTGGAGTTGGAAAAGATGGGAGGTGGAGACTTCTAAGGGAGGATACATGGGCTACCTTAGTAGATGCAGCACTACATTCATGTGATGCTTTCCATCCAGACCTAAATACTTCATCTGTCTGCCTGGAGTATAAACACAGAGACCTCAGGTCTGTCTGCCCCTGCCTGTGTAGGCTTGCATTTGGAAGCTTGAGCTTATTTCTCAGAGCTGTTTTGCTCTTTCTTTAGGCACAGCACTGAACACTAGCAACTACTCATGTAAGCGCACTGATTAATATACATATATATAGGTACATATACATGTAACTGGTTGCTCCAGTCCCCCTGCCCTGAATAAAGAAGCATTGCCCGGGGTGTTGCTTAATATTTAGTAATTATGAAGTCCATTGATCTTGTTTGTACATGCCATCTCCTGTCTGCTGCTTTGGTCTGTGTTTGTTTCTGCACATCCATTAAGGCCTTGCAAAGCAAAATGTGACCACTGACAAGTTTTTCCTGCAATGTTGTAAATGTGCATATCTTCCTGCAACCTGGTACAAAAAGGCTCTCTTGGTAATTTTTTTTTTTTTAAATACTGAAATTTTCTTGAGAAAATACGGTAGATCATGATGAATTTACACTGGTGCATGTAATTATTTTATGTATGAACAGGGCAGTAAAGAACTTAAATAATTCAACTATCATTTTGAAGAGTTGTAGTATGATCTCTTATTAATAAATTCATATAACTGATAAGTGTGTGTCTATAGATTTATATATGCATAATCAAAACTTGTATGAGAGAGAGTGGACTTAACTAGGAAAAAAAGATCTGAAAATAAATAGAGAAATAGAACAGCTAAATATGATAAAATAACAATGTTGCCATAAGGAGAGGAAAAACCTCTGCTACACTTGATTTTTCTTAAATTATTTTTAGATGTATACATGAATGAGACTCCTTTTCCCCAAACTGCTCAGAAGATTCTATTCTACAAAAGCCTTTGCTCTGCATCTTCTGTTCTTCAGAGGGGGAAACCTGTGAAGGAATCAATTTACATGTATTTGGGAGAATTTTTTACATGTGTAAAGTATCTGGAAGCACAGCAGTTGTGCCTCCCAATCAAAGAGCCAATATATTAATAGCCTGGAAACCAAACTGCTGTATAAAATGATTCCTGTTGGCTTAGGATAAAAGGTTTTTCCAAACTTAAATGTGTTCATTTTTCCAATGCTGTTTTGAAGAGAGAGGTTTGGCTTTAAGGGAGAAGTATTGTCACCGTGAGGCTGCCTCTGTCCGCACACCTGAAGACCAAGGAGGAACTGAAAACAAGCCTAGAACTGGTGTACATTGCATTAAGGCATCTCTCCTCTGAATAAAGACATCTCTTGAAAATTGTTGTGTTCTACAGTGGTGTCTGAGTGCTACTGAAACTCTTGTCTCTTAAATGCAATGTCTCACTTAAATGTTGGCCTCTTACTGTTTAGTGTTCGTGTGTGTCCCATCCCTAATTCTCAGGTGGGTGTGTTATGGGTGTGGGGCTGGATTAATAAACATTTTATGCTGCTGAAAAGAATAAGAAATACAAAGTTTTGGCAGTGTTATTGGAAAACTTTTTTAAATGTGTTTGTTTTCATACTTGGTGCTTCTGACTAGGCCAAGAGTTCACTCTTTTTCTGACTTTGAAACTGTATGTTTCTTTGCTTTTCTGTACATCATTCCCAGTTGATTTTTTATACCTCTTATTATCTGTCTAACACTAAATTAGTCTGTTCACTAGTCTGAAAATGTTGTTTTCATGCAACCTTCATTGGAGGAGAGATTCTTTGTCTTATTCCATTTTTGTTTTGACTTGTGTAGACTAAAATTGAGCTTGGTCCTCTTTCCCAACCTGACAGTGTCAGATTTGGTATATTGGTTTTGTTTAAAGTAGCCAAAGATCTGAATGTTGTTTTGATGACTCCTTTGTGGCCTTTCCTTGTCATAGAGGAGGCCAGTGTTTGAGCCAAGTTCATGGTGCAATCTCAGTTGTCAGTGATTAGAAACCTTGTGAATGTCTTCTCTTATTTAACATAAGTATCAGTTGCATTTTAAGTATTATTTTCGATTTACCTGCTTCATAGGTTTTGACCAATAGTTAATTGAAAATGATCATTTCTTTGAAGAAAATGTCAATGAGGGAGAAAGCTTTTTCACTTTCAGCATCTAGTTATGTGTATGGAAGAAAAGGATATTTGTGCCTGTATGGATATAGTCACGATGACTGCATATGTAAACATGCTTAAATCTTTGCAAGCTTTCTTCAGGTTTAGCAGTAATAAAGTTAAATAAGGCATCCTAAAAATGATGGTTTACCTCTATTCATTGCTCACTGGCTTATGTTATTTAAAGATACCTCAGTCAATACTTCAATGCTCAATGTACTGAATAGTAATAAGAATGACATGTGTTTACTTATCCAGACTGATACAAGCTATTCTGATGAATGCTAGAGCACTAAACTATTTGAGATAGATTATTCTTTTGAAAAAAGAAGCTCTAACTACACAAGAAAAAATAACTATGCTAGTAATGCTATATTATAAGTCATATTTTACAGGATTAGAGTTCATATATGTGTTTCTGATGATAATTCTGAGATTCATTTCTGTGAATGCGTTTAGATATCAATAGGCTGAAAATTGCTGGACTATAATTATACCATAACTAAGATATAATCAAAACTAGAAATATGCATGTTTCTTTCAAAACTGGCTGTGTTGACTTTTCTCGTTAGTAGAGGTTCATGTTTTCTGAATTCTCATTTGTTTCTTTTGTCGACTACTAAATTCTACCTTTGTGTAAGTGAGATCTTTCTGGGGAGTATGCATTTCTGGGAGTAGTGACCATTTTTCTTGACTTTGTTTTCCATGATGTGCAGCCTAGTGGTATGTCAGCTGGTAAATGAGATAATGATTCATTCGCCATTTGCAAAAAAAAAAATAAAAAATTGATGGAAATGGAAAGACCTTTTTTCACCCTAAAACACAAAACAATGAACAAGCAAAAAATCTCTTCCAAGAATGTGATTGAATATAATCTTGCAAGTAGTCAACTTATTAAATGACTTAGTTTGATTTTTTTTTTTAATGTGATATAAATTAGGAGTTGGCGGGTTGGATAATTCTTAACAGAAGTTTGTTTCTTTCTGTTTTCTAGACAACTCTGCTGAAGCAGATCTGTGGTTGTTGAACAGTTGTACAGTAAAAAATCCTGCCGAGGACCACTTCAGAAACTCAATCAAGTAAGTTGTTTCCTTACAAAGGTACTTAGCAATCAATGAATATTGCATGTCTTAAAGTTTCATACTTTCAATCTAGAAGTAATTTTGTGTTTTAGAGCAGGAAGTATACCGAGTTTGACTGTTACAATGGGGGGTTCTCTAGAATGGATTTTTAGGGTGCAGTGGATTTTTTTTTTAATTAACTAGAACTCGTGATTATCACTACACTTATATTTAGGAGAACTGCTGATCTATTTAGATAGGGGCTTCTATATCACTTTTCAAGACAATGTTGTAATACTCTTTTGAAGAGTTGACTTCGTTTTTTGGTTTTGGTTTGTTTGTGTTTTTAGTTTTTGTTTGATTTGTTGTTTGGTTGGTTTTGGGTTTTGTTTGTGTTTTTTAAAATATGTGAATTTTTAGGTTTCTTTTTTCCTCCAACTAAATTTTGTGTAATTGGGACCTTTTATTTAGTGGTGTCCAATGACAGGAGGAGGAGCAATGGCCATAAACTAAACCACAAGAAGTTCTACTTCAATGTGAGGAAGAACTTCTTTACATTGAGGGTGGCAGAGCACTGGAACAGGCTGCCCAGGGAGGTCATGGAGTCTCCTTTCTGGAAACATTCAGAACTCACCTGGACGTGTTCCAGTGTAACCTGCTCTAGGTGACCCTACCTTAGTGGGGGGTTTGGACTAGATGTCCAGAGATCCCTTCCAACCCTAACAATTCTGTGATTCTGTGAAAAAGGTGTCAGGTGCATGCTTAAAACTATCTATTTCACTATACAGCTTCTTGAAAGATTAATTGATTAGCTTATAATAGAAGTCTTGTGAAGAATGTGTTTTATTTCTCAGTACCATTCCAATGACGTTGAAGAAGATGACATGGTAGCAAGTGCTGCTTCTGATTTCCACAGGTGTATAGTTGTGATGAGAGTAACTGAAAAACCCGTACCCATACAGCTGTGATTGCCCAGTATAAAGAAACATCGTGATATGTTTCTTGTAGATTTTATCTACAAGATAAAATGGCTTTTTGTGCAGTCATTTGTTTAGTGTGGTACACTCTGCAGATGGACTGTTTGCTGAAAGCCATTTTGGTGAGAAAAACATAGTTCTCAGGAAGGGAGAGGAGAGAGAGAAGCTGGATATAAGCGACCTGCTTGCAGTGTTGGAGTTACTAACAGTGTCCCAGGGCTGTAACCCGGAACAGAAACTGTTTACCTGCAGTTGGTGGCACAACAGAAACTTCCTCCACCCCTCAGAGAGCTTCACTTCCTCGCTGCTGGTGTTGCACTTGGTGACCAGAATGGCTTTTTGCCTTTTTTCGCCATTGCCAAAAGAAAAAAAAAAAAAAAAGGCAAGCTATTCCCAGAACACTTCCAGCAGTTAGTGTGTGTTGGCCAACAGAACTGATGACAAGATCGTTTCCAGTTCAGTTGTGGCCATCTTTCTATTTTACTAATGCTGTGCCAGAATTGATGTGGTACGGTGTGTGTCCTAGCCAGTAGAATGGAGCTGGTTAAGAAAGAGGGCTTAACTGAAAGCAAATGACCAAAAATATTCCTTTGAACTTCATGTTTCTGTTGCTGCTCTGTTAATGAACCTGGTGTTATTTGTAGCCTGGGTTTATTCCTCTTTATCCTTACTTCTCCATATACTCACTCCTTTCCAGTAGCATGCATTGTTCATTCTCTACTCTCAGATCCTGTTAGTTCCCAGCTGTGAAGAATGACAACTTTTGTTGTTATTTTCAATAATGTGCATTAAATATTAATTTTCAATAAGGTGCATTAAATAGAGAGAAGAGAACCATATGTGGGTGCGCATTTGCGGGACTTGGAACTGAAAGATTAAACATCCTTCATCCCAGAAAAATGCAATACTAGTGTATTTGGGTTTTACAATAATGAGGAAAGCTTGTATCTCTAAAGAACACAAATTCACCCAAATACCTCAATTTGTTACAGAAACAAACCCAATGAATGAAGTTTGGGTGATACAGAGTGAGCTGCCATTATATCCTATCATAGCAGCTTGTTGGTAGCTATGGAGATCTTTGTTTTTCTCGCTTCAGTAACAAAATAAACATTTAGTGTGTGTTGTCAAAGCAAACATACTTTGAGTGGAAAAATTAATACTCAGCACAGGAAAATTCTTCTTTAAAATTAAAAAAAAAATTCAGACTGAAAGTGTTGTATAGCATTATGAATGTCATGTGGGAAAAGTATTTCAGGTTTGTTTATTCTCTGCCCTCTGCAACAGTTACTTTCCTTGCATATATGACTTTAAAATGCACTGATTGAAACCAGTGGTAGCATATTTACACTGGTGGTTGAAGAATGACTGTCTGAAAAGCTGATCCCTCACTAATACCATGTGCCAAAGGATGTGCCAGAACCCAACAAAGCCTGTAGATTCCACCTTTTTTGATCTGATTTTCTTATAAAAATGAATCAAAACTACTCCCAAACTCTCTGAACCTTTGCAGATGTGTATATAGTTGATACAAGCCAACTGACAGTATAATCTTCATGCTTTATTTTTTTTTAATGTAGCTGTTAAGGAGTGGTCTGCTGCCCTTCAATATCAATAAAGTAGAAGCTGCTGAGCAAGGGTGATGTTATGGAGAGCAAAGAGCTGCTTAAAGACCATTAACTTAGGGATGGGAATTGAGAACTTTTCCTTTGCAGATTTTATTCTCAGTTGGCTAGTCATGAAATAAGATTAAAGTAGAGGTAGGCAGTGGCAATAAAGAATTCTCAGTATAATTATGTAGGTGGAGTTTAAAAAATAATAATTATGGCTTGTATTTTGGTTGGTAATGAATATACCTATTGTGCTTTAGTAGAGTAGTTTCTGGCCATTCCAGGGAATTACCAGCTTTTGGAAAGTTCCAGGAGTGTTGAATACCTCTGATAATTTTTTCTCTAGTGGCATTAAACTCCTGCTAAGGTGGTGGGTTCCCGTGTCAGGGGTAGCATGCCACAGAACACACCTCTTTGCCCTGACCTGTTTCTTAGAGTCCTAAGTATCTGTGAATGGTTGCAGTTCCAGGGAGTTGATGAAAAACTCAACATGATGGTTGACATTAAATATTTAATAGCATTTTCTGCTATAATTTTTATTCTATTCAAATATAACTTTCTTAAAACTTAGCTATTAATAGCAGTAACAGTAAACATTCAAGAGGTAAGTTACTAATCTTAACTTCTGTAAACCACAGTAAATCTTTTAAGGCTACTTGATGAAGAGAATTAATCAGAAAAGCATGTTCTACGGGAGCTCACTTCCTTTAAAATACAGTTATTTTGCTCTCCAGTTTCATGCTCTAATACTCTTTCTTGACTGTAACATCTTGGATATGTAACTCACTTTTCCCAATAACCTCTGAAAATTCAGAGACTGTTGTGTGTTTCTAGCTAGCCATCTTCCCCCTGCTTGATTCGTTCCTGAGAGCTGGTGTGAGTTACTCATGTGTTCAGGGACATAGGCTTTTCCTTAGGGAGGTTTCCTGCTGGTTGAAGTATTATGGATGGGATTCCGAGGTCTCTCTTATCAAAATAGCAAGAATGGGAGGTGTAATGTGGTTATGCTGTTGAGGAGTTCGTGACCTGTCTCATGGTATAGAATAAATCTGACCACTGTGAGCATCTTTGTTACTATATATAATTAACAACATTAACAGTGTTCTGTGATGTATTTGTTGCTTCATTCATTTAAGGGACTCTTCAGTGTGTACTCAACCCTTTTCTTTCTGATAGCTATGAGTTGTGACAGATGTGAAGGCTTTTAGCACTGCAGTAACACCGTGTGACTTCCATTCTGTCCTTGCTTCAAACACTATGTATGGGATCTCACTTTTATGCTAGAAGGAGCATCAAAACCTGTAGAATTTGTTGAAATGTTAGTTTAAGAGGACAATGATTGCAGACTATGCAAGTTGTTTAAGGCTCTCAGTGGATTAAATTGAAGGGTAAAAGACATGACTGCCTTTGGATGCAGCAAAATTTCTCTTCACCAAATGCAATTGTGGAAGGAAATTATTCTTTAACTTATTCTTTAAGTACAAAAGCTTTTTCAGAGATAAGAGTAATTTTCTGCTGCTTGACATCTTTGCAAGTGAAAATAACCCTGGAAGAAGGTTTTTTGTTTCTTTTTTTTTTTTTTAACATTTCTGTATGTTTATATGATACATTTTGCAAGTTGAGCAAAACCAAAAATTGTACACTGTGCAGTGTTAACACTTGCTTTTACTAATACATTTCCAGTGTAGAAGTAGACTGTGATTTACACTTGTTTATATTGTTCACGCAGTAAAGTTTAAGCTGTGAAATACCTCTGGAAGACGAAACATAAGTATTTCAAAACTCTTTATTTCATAGATCCTGTTAGCATAAGAAGATGACTTCTGCTGAGTGCAGGTTTCTGAGATGAATGTCAGAGCCTGGCTGTTCATTGCATTTCACAGAAATAGTGTATTGCTGTGACTTTTGGTGTTTGTGTCAGAGTACTTAAGGTAGCAGGGCAGTAGTGAGAACTGTAGCTAGGGGCATTGCTGTTTTCTGTTCGTCTTGTATTGAAGAAAATGTGAGGAAGATCTGGATTCTCCAAAGTAAAAATGCCTGCAGAACAAACTTCGCTGGGTGGGAAGAAGCTTGGCAATTGGTTTTTTTCGTTTGGTTTGGGTTTTTTTTGAAAAGTGTTGCCAATAATACTTCTTGCTCAGAACCTCTAAACTAATTCAGATAATGTTGATGAAAATCTTACCATTTTGCTGGGCTTACAGATTGATGAAATGCTTGTATTCAAGATATATGCTATACTCACCGTGCAAGAGGAACTTCTTCCCCAGATAACAGGAGTTACTTAGTTTTGAGTGGAGGCTGTAAATCTGTTAACTAGAATTTTAAATTGCAGTTCTTTCCTAAGAACAACCAGAGAAACCTATGTGACTGATGCAGTTGCTTAATCAAAACTTTGATTGGGATAGATTTAGCTACAACATTGGCATGTTTA